TATTAATTCTTCACTCCTCCATGCATGTTTATCCATGCAGTTACGGATAATATTGGGGTTCACACTCTAATGAAAATAGTAAAGTAGTGCAATGGAACATGGGGTTGCTGGGTAGAAAAGTCTGCACTTGGCCTAAAAACTGGAAAGTCTTGTAAGCTAAGCAGTGTCAGGCCTAGTTGGGAAAATTAGGGAAATGCATCTGCTAGAGAAGAGATGATGAATCAATAGTTGGTTTAGTTCCAAGTCAAAGGGAAATATCAGATGATGAATCAATAGTTAGCATATTTCCCTTTGACTTGGAACTAAACCAACATCCTGATATGATGCTGCTCTCTCTAAAGAGTCTTCTCATGATCAAAAAAGTAAAAACATCCAGTGACTGGAGAATTTGCGCAATGAAGATATATGTAAAACCTATGCCACTGACCGGGGGGATTTGTATTTGTTTTTGCTAATAGCCATTTAAGTCAAATGATAGAACAAAGAGGAGGGAAACACTGTTACATCTAGGAAAGCTCTAGTTCTTTGTACAGCCAAGGCAAGCCTGAAAGTTTAAAAACAAGCCAAAATGTTAACATGTAACAATGCTGACCTTCTAAATGCATTCAAAAATGGCACAGCTTCCTGCCTCTTCTAGGACTTGTTTCCCCCCCACCCCCCATCATCCTTTTCAAATTCCAAGTTTTTAAGGCATTTTCAGAAAAAACAGATTTTCAAAAGCAGAGATGCCAATTAGGCCCCTAACTCTCCATGACCTAAAATGTCATTTGTGTCTTTGAAAATCTCCTGTTAATGTAATTTCCAAATAAGCAGTAGCATATTCTACTGGTTAGAGCACAAGCCTTGGAGATTGAAGACATAGATGCTAATCTCTGCTTTTTGGCTTGCTTAGTGTTTGACCTTAGTTTGCTTCTTTTCAGTCTCATCTATTAAATGCAGACAATTCCTACTTTACGGAGATATTTGAGGTTTAATTGTGAGTGCTGAACATCTTGAACTGAAAGTGCTATGTAAGTACAGAGCATATTATTAAACAGTGACAGATGCAGAGATATCTGAAAAGCAGTGTATTTAGCAGTGAGTTGCCTATACATGTCATTCCAAGTGACACAGTATTTTGGTTTTGCTTTGGTCATTCAGGACAGTAACACTTCCAATCAAGGTAATATTTTTGAATTTGAGCAATGTTTTGCATTTAAGCATTACATTAAAATTTCCTGATCAAATGCCAAAAAAAAATGAATAGGAAATATATATCAGTAATTACAGTTCATACTTCATCTATTTCAAAACGCCTTGCTTCAAAGAACAAGTATTAACTGGACAGACACTCCTTCACAAATTAGAGGTTGCAAAGGCTTATTACACACCATATTTATCTTTGAAATTTATCCAACACAAACAAAAAAAATAGCACTTTCAAATTTGAAAAAGATGTTGCAGGCAAGAAACTATTAAATTTACGAATCCCTATACACATGTTTTATCCAACTGTCCCTGCAGACCCTAATTGAGTTTAGGAGCACAGGAATGTAATATTTTGAAAGACTGCTACCTGTGCATTAGTATGGTTTTGAAGCTGATAAAATGCACCCTCTTTGAAGTGGTACTTCATCACTGAAATTGGGAAACAAAATTTTGTTCTTGTTAGACATCAGAACACAATATATGAGATACATAGGTTTGGACTAGTGGCAGGTTTATTTGGGAGAACATGGGTGGAGGAAGAGTACTGATTCCTAAGGGGATGAGAAACTTGGGTGAGCTGTGACTGAGGAGCCAAATACAAAATCTCAGTATGTTAGAAGTGAAGTACTTAGAAAAGGTCACAGGAAAAGGGTCATCACTTCCCATAGGCTGACACACAAAGGAAGTGAACAATTAGGTGGTTTCTTATCTGTGTAGGCACTTTGGAGCAGGGATGAGCTATTGGGTGTGCATTTGTACAGTGGCTAGCACAATAGGGCCTTGATCCATGACTGGGTGCCCCTTCCTCTAACATTAATAATTGCTCTGGTTTATCTGTGGAAGAGTATTTCCATTTTCAGACAGCCACACTTTTGAATGCAGTTACACCTTTTCACATGACTCTCAGGGTGCCAAAGAGGGGTCAGAGTCACCACTGCAACTTTGGGATATGGAGTTTTAGTAGGCAAAAGGATACAAAGTTGCTTCAGAGCTTTCAGTCTTCCAATGCTTTTTGGAGAAGTTGATTAGGCAGGAAGAGTTTGCTTCCTATACATTGCCCAAGCTTATGGTATTTAGCACCAGTTCCTCTGGTTGCTCCTCAAGTGTATCTATTACTATCTATGCAACTAAAATAGTGCCAGTTTAAATCAAAATGTGATTATGACCCACTATAGTTAAACTAGTACAAAAGGCTAAGCAGAGATGTCTTTCAGTTTCAGAGTGGTTTATTATAATTTAGTTCACGGATTAGGAAGAGGTTTAAACTTGATGGAAATAAGAATATCCAAGCAGCACTTTGCACCAATTTAATTAAATTAAAAAATTAGATAAAAGTTAAACCAATGGCGCTCTCTTATATAGACAAGCTGTTAGAAACAGTGCAACAGAGATCAGGAATTCTTCACTTCATGCTGTTTACTACAGGGTCAGTGGCTAAGAAGCTTAACAGTCCATGTTTTTCCTCACGGTTTCCAGATGCCCAGGTAGCACCCAGCCAGAACAACAAATGCTTTTCATCTGTATATAGATGGTTAGGACCTTTTATTGTTGCTGCAGGACCTCACTACCATTAGGCACTTTTGTTTCCTTGAAATTGGAGCCCTGATATGCTCTATGAGATATCAAAGGAGAAGACAACTCCAGAAAGTTCAACTAGTGAAGTCTTTTATGAAGCACTCATTTAGTAGCACTTCATGCAGGAAACATTATACCAGTGCTCTGATCTCTGCACTGAGGGCTTATCTGTTTGAGGTACAGTCAAAGGTGTTGGACATAATTTATAACTCTTTATATTATTTGGGATTTGGCTATGACACCACCCCCCCTCTCTTTTATCTGGTATCATTACAATTGATAATACCTGAGCTGGTAATCTCCTAAAGTAACTGAGAAGGAGTTGCAGGTTAGATGCTTTCACTGAAGAGCCCTCAATTTTGAGACTCATTATACCTCATCTGAGGGTATATTTCATAGATTACAAGGCCAGAAGGGACCAATGTGATCATCTAGTCTGACCATGTACAACACAAGCCACTGAACTTCACTGAAGTAAGTCATAGCATATTTCAGTAGAGAACACCAATCTTGATTTTAAAATTATTGGTGATGGAGAATCTACTATGGACCACTGGTAAATTGTTCCAATGGTTAATTATTCTCAGTTAAAAAATTATGCCTTATTTCCAGTCTGAATTGGTTTAAAATGAGCTCACTGAGTGTATCACAAAAAGGCATGCAATGGTCACCTGTTTCCCTAAGCTACAGAAAAGGTCAAAGGGCAGATGGATCTGGGATGTTTGGATAGTAATAGACCTGTTGGTCACTGTGGTCCTATTAGGGTGATTGATAAAATGTAGGCAACACATTTTTTCCACTAATTTAATCTGATATGAACTTTTTTGTACATACATTTCATTTTAACAGTAGCAGGGTTAAGAGTCCAAATAAAAATGCTTCTCTAGGGGTTTCTTCAGAGTCCTCCTCTTATATTTGCTACTGTACGATGGGCTGATTGTGATTGAAAACAAGGCTTCAGAAATTTCTAAGCAGTGTTTTGGAAAGGGAAAATTAGTAACAGTTCAGAAAGCAGTTTTGCCTGTTTGGCTAAGACACAGAACTATATTGACAAAGACAAGGTAAAAATCTTTTACTGTACTAACTTCTTTTGGTGGAGGAGATAAACTTTTAAGCTCCACAGAATACCTGATGAAGAGCACAATAAAGCTCAAAAGCTTGCCTCTTCTGCCAGAAGAAGTTGGTCCAATAAAAGGTATTAGTTCACATGACTGGACTCTTCTATATCCTGGGACCAACATGACTAGAATAACAGTGCAGAAAAAAGCTAATAATGTAAAATGCCTATAACTCACATGAGTCCCTTAGGAGTCCCCTTCCTTGGAAAAAAAAAGTGTGACTACCTGCTTAAGTTGATATAGATCTGTATGGATATGATTGTGCATTATTAAACTTTTAATATTTTTTCCATTGTTAATTAAATCTTTAACATCTTTTGAACAGAGTTTAACTCTGCTAGTTTACAGACACTAATAAACGAAGGATTTAGGAACACCAAAAATACTTAAATGTGATTATTTTTAATTCATCACACAATTAAGTTAAAGCAAATGTTCTGAATACTTCCTAAATAATTAATTACATTGTTAGTAGTCTAAAATAAGTTATTTTAAAAGTGAAAAATGTTATATGTAGAGAACTGTTGAGATGAATATAAAACAGTAATTTCTTAAACACAAAAAAAAAACAACTTACCTTTGTTTACTACTACATTTCCAGATCAAGTACCACTACTGTTCCTTCTGCTGTGATACACACATATCAATAGTTTAACTAGATTACACACATATCAATAGTTTAACTAGATTACTTACTATAAAGCTGATGTTCACAACTTTTTCAGTTATTAAAATAGAGATCATTTTATTAAAGTACCAACAAATTAAATCATATTAATCTGTTTTCAGGATAGAGGATAAATAGCATAATTTGGCTTTTTCAGTGTATAGCAAATAAAAAGGCCATCTTTCTCCTACTGTTAATTTACCATCTGCTGGGGGAGGGGAGAGATGCACAAAGTAAAAATTATTTCTCTTGAATTTTCTGACAGGTTCTTTTTTTGGTAGAATTTTTGTACATTTGAAATTTAGAAAAAAGATTCTTCATGCAGTATTTTTCTAGGTGATTTTTCTAAGTGTGCCAAGGAACCACTGAGGCACTTTTCTGTTTTCATAAACTATAAGGTCTTAAATGTAATGTATTCCTGTGGGAAAAATGCAGATACTACATACATTATGTATTTGTAAATTTAATGCATATATAAGGTAAACAATAGGAGGACTACATATCAATTGCTTCCTTTCCTCATGCCATGACTCTTCTCAAAGAGTTTGAATTTTATGATGTTCTGTTGCAGAAACCGGTTTAGCCACAGACTTATATTCTTGGCAGTTGTATTTAACTGTCATCATAACTAATTACAGGTATCTCTACATTACCATATTGCAAACTCTCATCTTTATGAAAGTACAATGTTCTGTTGGGGAGGAAAAAAAAAGATATATCCAACATCCTGAGGGCTACCAAACAATGCCCTATTCCATGTTAGACTACAAACCTCAGGTCTTAGAACTGGTGCTGTAAACCTTCAAATTACTATTCTTTGGCAAGTTGCTTTAGCCTGAAGTACTTAAATAGTAAATCATCATTATGTGTTAATGCCAAACCTTTGGCCTGACACATATTAATCTTGTTTAACAGCAACTGATGATTACATTCCCTATTCATTTCAGGCATTTTGGTGACTAAACACATATGCAAAAGCTTCAGGGAAAAATTATTATTAGTTTTGAATGTGTCCTTACTTTTCACTGTGAATGATTGAGAAAACATTATTAAAAATTCTTGTTACTTATAACATAAGCATTCAAAGCATAATTCTTTTTTGAAACATCTGGCACTGAATAAAATTTGCATTTGGTATTCCAATATAACTGATCAACTCCAGAACATAACATATTTTAGATGTTTTCAAAATTCACATTTCCACATTTTATCCCATTGAAAAGATAGAGATTTAAAAACTTGAACCTATGTGAAAGAACTGGGGAAGGATAAACTAAAAGGGTCTTTAATTTGATAGCTACAAGACAAAGAGCATACCAGAGCCACCCAATAAATCATTGCGCTTTCTGGACTTAAGCTACAGTTTTCTATTGCAATTCATCTAGCACAATGGTGGGCAACTTGTGGCCTCCTCAGGGTATGTAGCTGGTGGGCCACCAGACAAGTTCTTGACCCTGCATCTGCCAATGGGAGTTGCAGAAAGTGGTGCAGGCCACAGGGACTTACTGATGACAGCTTCTCACAGCACCCATTGGCTGGAAACAGCAAACCAAGGCCAATGGGAGCAGCAGACTGACATACCTACGGATACAAGAAACAACCTATCTAGCAGCCCACCAGTCTTACCCTGATGAGCCATGAGCGGCCTGTGACACACAGGTTGCCTACCACTGATCTAGACACAAACAAATAATATTAAGATAATTTTAAATTAAGCTATTCTCCAAACTAAGATGTTTTCACATTTAATATAAGCTAAATAGCAGCAGCATTGGGTAGGGTCACAAAAGTCAATATTCTGGTATTCTGCAGGCATTTTATGCAGGGATGTAAGAGTGTAGTTGATTAAACCATTAACTGATACGCAAAAGCTTATTGGTTAATGCTATTCATTACATGCATTTCCCCCTCCCTTGCAAGTAAATTTTTTAAAGGGCTGATCAGCAGCCTGGCTCAGTCCCAGCTGGTGCCAGGTCCGGAAGGTACCCCCGCTGTGGCTCTGCAATGCAAGTATTTTAGGAGCTGGGTGGGCAGACTGCCTGGTCAGTCCTGGCTTGTGCTGCAGGACAAGTCCCGGGACCTTGTGTGAGCTGGGCTGCTTGCCTGGCTCCTAATTCTTTCAATTCAGAGCTGCAGCGAGGGTAGCTCCTGGACCTGGTGCAAGCCGGGATTGTGTGCTTCCAGTGCTAACCCTTATTGTTTAATCGTGTAGTCAACAAAATTTTTCAAAAAGCAACCTCAAAAAAATAGTGATAAGATTTGTACTATTTAGTAAATCAGATATATAACTGATAAGATATTTTTTAAAAGGCAGAACCTGTCATTTACCCACTCCAATGGATCACAGGCATTATATTTTATCATGATCACCTAACAGAACTTTGTTGCACTAATATTTGGGTCTAGATTTATGGGATTCTTGACCAGGCTCAAAAATGCTTTGGACCTAAGATTTGTTATACAGAATTTTATCTATTTGGAGAATATGAGGGGAATGTTAAATTTCTGTTGCATTAAAATAAATAAAATATCTAATTTCCCCATTACAATTTTAAAAGGAATTGGAAACAAGATATTGAAGTCTAACAGTATTATGAGAAAAACAGTTTTTGCTTAGTAGTTTTTAAAAATATCAACCTTGCTTAGTTGTTCAGATTTAGTTATGCAAGCATAAAAAGGCAGCACATCCTGTATTAAACCACCAATATTTCCATTTTAAACGCCTTTGCTTTCAGATGACATCAAGACAGAGCTACATGTATCCCATGTTGCTTTTTGTTTCCCATCTTTTCTTAGCTTCAAATCTGAAATGAAGCACAAAAACATATTATGCACCATTGTAGACATATTAGGAACTGTAAAGAGGAAACATGTAATATTTAACTTCAATGAAAAAAAAAATCACAATTTGGGTTTTAATATCCTATCAATTACTAAAGGCCAATACAAACATTAAAATAACTTATTTGTAGTAATAACTCTATATTTAGTCTAATTCACTATTCAGGAAAAAACAGGTCAAGTAAACAAACAAGGATCAGCACAAGCCTATTTGAAGTAAGGAAACATTTAACTGAGATTATATTGTATCCATTTAGTGCCAACAAAACTGCAAATACTGAATATTGTACTCAAATAACGCACCCCCAGGCAAGCTTCTTTTTCTTTCGAGCTTCTTGGGAAGCCTCCATATCTTGTTTGGCTTTTACAAAGTTGCGGCAAGCAACAGCTTTAGCAATTTTCACGCCGAGCTAAGTGGGGTGAGAAGGGACAGAAAGAAAAGTTAACAGAAGTAAATGGTTTACATCAAACATGAGGCATATCTTCTTTCCCATGAGCTAACATGAGTTTTGGTATCTTTTTTAAAAAAAATCAGATGCACAGATGTACTCATAGGACTGAACAGGACCAGATTTTCCATGAAAGTTCGATATGAGACACAAATGATTGATTTTACCATATAGCCTCTGGTCTTAGAAGGACATCTAGAACTGAAGAAGAAATCTGTTCCCACCTCACCACCCTCATCAGCCAGAAAGATGACAGTGTTAAGAAGGATGGGAGAGAACAGTAGGAGTCGGGTCCTAGGGACCCCAAGTAATCCCACCCATCCAAAGGAAAGCTTACTTGTAAATTCAATAAATTTGTAATATTACTCCATATAGTACCTTTCACACATGGAATTTAAAGCTCTTTAGAATTGGGGAAGGCTGAATTTTAATGGCTACTCTCAATAAACAGACAAGTGCTTATGTGTTGGGCATTACTTGAGCATCAGCTACCCTCTAACATGACATACTAGACCAAAACACTAGTACTAAAGGATGAAAATTATTTATATAATCACATGAACTAAGATGACCAGAAAGTTTTACATGTATACATTTTGTAGCCAACCAACCTACCTAGATTTTTTAAGTAATAAAAACTTGGCATTTTAAGACACTGCTTTGAGTGTTACAGTAGTCTGTAAAAATGAATAGTCCTGTGATATATTAAAGACTAACAGATTTGGGCAAAAGCTTTTGTAGAAGAAATCCCAGTTTGTCAGATGCATCTTTATGCCCAAATAAATGTTAGTTTTTAATGTGCCACAGGACTCATTTTTGCAGATGCAGTCTATCATGGCTTTCCCTCAGATGCTTGTCAGTATTCAGCGTATATTTCAAACAAAGGGCCAAATTCAGTAGCGATGGACGTGCCAGAGATTTTTTAGATATTCTTTCCCGATCAACCTATGTAAGTGGCAATGTAATATGCACAGGTTTTATATCCCGTGGACACCACAGTCTATCCTGCTATAAATACATCCAATTCCCAGTGACTCACTGGGAATTATTTCCTCTAATCCTAGGGATCAATTTGGCTCAAGTGGTGCTTAGGAGGTTACAGGTGAAAGAGAAAGAAAGAAGCTGCTTTACTTTACAACTAATGCAGGTTGGAGAATAAGAACTGGATTTCATGATAATATGAAGTTTCAATTTGTTTTTTTACTAACTGGAACAAACTCTTTTGGACATTTTCCAAAACAAAAGCATGTTGAATCACCCGAGTCTGGTCAAGAAAGTAAGGTTTCTGGTTTATGTCTCTCCCTCTCTTGCCTACTACGCACCTCAGAAACCTTATGGTTGAAATCAACAAACCAGTACTTTGTGATGAAAAATGTTTTAAACTGTTCTGACCAATTTTACTTTTATCTTGTTAGTTGGTTTCATGACATACTCTGACTCTGTAAAGACAACAGACAAAATTCCTTCCTATCAACATATTATATTGTGCAGATTATAATTTTAAAAATGCACAATATTCTGGAACTCAACACCAGAAAAAGTTGGAACATGTAATTTGATCTTCAATAATTTATCAGAACCAAACAATATATTCCCATCCTCAAGCTGATCTTCTCAGAGGAATAGTGTCAGGCCTTAACAATATTAAGCAGAAGATGTTCCAGAAAAAGCAGCATGCTGCCGGAAGTAACAGTAATCTGAAATATGTCACTTTTAAAAACAATACTGAACCAATGCCCCAGGATAGCACTAAGATGCAGTGAGACATCTTTCAAATGAAAGAAAACAGAAGTCTAGATCATGTGTAGAAATTAAAAACTTCGAAAGTACTTTTGCAGGAATGGAGGTAGTGAAGATGAAACCAGGGACCTGATCAAAATATTAATTTAGATAATTATATTGTATCCACCGACAGATCCAACTGAAGTGTTCTACACTCCCATCCTAAACTAACCAGAGCTACCAGGTTTTTCGCCTTCCTCTGTAGCATGGGGTACAGATCACAGCTGGAGGATTCTCTGCATCTTATCATAGAATCATAGAATAATAGGACTGGAAGGGACCTCAAGAGGTCATCGAGTCCAGCCCCCCGCCCTCAAGGCAGGACCAAGCTCCACCTACACCATCCCTGACAGATGTCTATCTAACCTGTCCTTAAATATCTCCAGAGAGGGAGATTCCACCACCTCCCTTGGCAATTTATTCCAATATTTGACCACCCTGACAGATAGGAATTTTTTCCTAATGTCCAATCTAAACCTCCCCTGCTGCACTTTAAGCCCATTACTCCTTGTCCTGTCCTCAGAAACCAAGAGGAACAAATTTTCTCCTTCCTCCTTGTGACACCCTTTTAGATATTTGAAAACCGCTATCATGTCCCCCCTTAATCTTCTTTTTTCCAAACTAAACAAGCCCAGTTCATGAAGCCTGGCTTCATAGGTCATGTTCTCTAGACCTTTAATCATTCTTGTCGCTCTTCTCTGTACCCTTTCCAATTTCTCCACACCTTAAAGTCTATGAGTCTACTGCACACTATTAAATGGTTGCCACATTCACTGAGAAGGTGACGGAAATATATGTAAAGATCATGTGCAATATGTTAAGATGATCGTCACATTATCCGACTCTAGACTGTCATTTATGTAATAAAGATGCATGCTATTCAAATAAGCTTTTGACAGGATGCAAGATAGAGGCCATTTTATTTATTTACAACCCTTTCACCTAAGGGGAATTCAATTGGTACCATGGTATACGTAAGAGGGAAAAAAAAAAAAAAAAAAAAAATGACTAGATGGACTAATGCCACAGAAGAATTTTGAACTCACCATTTTCAAAGATTTCCATTACTGAACATTGCTAACTCCCTGCTCATTTTAATTGAATGTTGTGATATCCATGAATGGTGTTAAATAACACCAGCAAAAATGTAAGTCAGAAAAATTTGTTCTCAAAATTACTCCTATTTCTTTCTGAAAACCAGAAAGCTCATCTGTACAAAACAGCTAGAATATGTTGCTGCTTCTTGCAGCAGTAACTCATTCAAGGTGCTATCCAAAGCCCACTCAAATCAATGAGCACCTTTCCTGTTGGAGTTTGCAGTCTGGATTGTGTACGGCAAACAAAAGCATCCAACAAAAACAAAACAAAACAAAAAAAGATAGTGTGCAAGATCCAGGTAACAGAACAAGATCTCAGGCTACTGAAAATATGGCTGGAAACTGCATGAGTCATGGCAATGCATATAAAAGGGGCTGTTGTCTTAAGCAGGTATGGCTGCAATTCACTTCTATAAAAATTAAGTCCATAGATCAAATCCACAGAATGCAGCATTTTTATATGTAAACAGGAAGGCTGACTGCGGCATAATCTTGTTTCACCAGAGAAATATTGGTATGTCTACATTATAAAGACTACATACAAAACACAAAGCAATGATAACAGCTAGGCAGTTGGTGAGTTGAACCCACTCCCTATTACTCAATACATTTTTTTTATTCTTATCTTGTTTACCACTCTTGCACCCACTTTTTCTGTTTTACTCACCCACCTGTTGTGTCTTCTCTGTAACCTAAATGGTGAGGTCTTTGAGGCAGGGACTGACTGCTTGTTTGTTTGTACAGCAACTAGCACAACAGGCATTCTTGATCATACATAGACTGAAACCCTAGGCACTTCTATAATACAAACAGTAAATAGCTAATAAGTGAGCACTAATTATATTAATTCCTTAAAAAGGCTACAACTAAACATTTCACTAATCTTGCTTTTGAATCTATATAAAGGGTAAATATCTCCTTATGGCAGGGCCAGATGAGGCCCCCAGCTTACCTGAATCTAACCAGGAGGCTCAGGGCTCCCCCCTCAAGCATCGGGGAACTCATGCTGGTGTTCGAGCCCCTCTGCAGGACTAAAGCACACACAAAAATCTACTAGCCTGGGCCCTCCTAGACTCTGGTGTGTGAGCGGAATATGAGAAGTAGCTTTCTCCCTTCTTAATCAGGAGCCACATCAGTGAGGAGGGAAGGGGTTGTTTTGTTTTTGCTTGTCACTCATGGGAAGACCCCGACTTATTTTTCTGTGGATCAGCAGCCCCCAACTGAAAAAAGTTTCCCCAGCCCACCTTCTGGAGTCCTCCTGATGCAGCAAAATCAATCATGTGATCAGCCAATACTTCAACGTTTTTCATCATTAGCCATATAGGGATGCTTTGATTAACAATTAATATAATCCAATATTTCTGACATCTAAACTATAAAATGTGATGACAGTCACAAAGCATATCATAAAGACTAACTACTGTATAACATTCTGTTACTGACATGTAGTAATATAACATTTAAGTGCATCTAGAAGCATTCACATTTTTGCTATGAATCCTAGTAACATTTATAAATAAATCCAGATGTAATGAACCAACAAATTCCTGAAGTTATAATAGAAACTTAAAGGAATACAGTAGCAAATGAATATTTATATGGCAAAGCACAATAATTTTATTAACATAATACATAGAGCAAACAGAAGACTAAATGGACAATGAATTCACAGCAGTAGCACAGCTGTATCTTTAAATATGTCATTTTAGACTGAATTTTACATCATAGTACGATGAATTAATGACATTAATATACACACACGATCTTAGATAACTGATGTCTATAAAGATATTTAAGCCTTTAGTCTATTTCTGTGAGGGTGGAATGAATACTTCTAGATTTGAAAGTATGGAAATGAAATGGAATAATATCCGCTGTAGTATATGTAGAAATAGGGGAAATAAATATTCTGCAATATTAATGCCATTGCTTTAGGGCTACATAAAATCTAGTCGGCAAGACAAATATGTTGTTTAAACATTCACAAACATTTTATTCAGACTAAGCATATTCTCTGTCCATCCACACATATTCATTTCCCCTCCCAGAAGAAATCCTTGAAAGCTTGGTCAATAGAATTTA